ATAAGCTTTGAAAGGATTCCAAGATTCCTGTTACTTACAGATGTTTTGCTTTGACTAACTGTGTGTGTGTGCAAAATTTTGGAGGGGATGAGTAGTATTCATTCTGTGTGGTTTCTTGAATCAAACAACCTCTCTACACATAGTGTGGTTCCACAGGTAGCAATCCACCATGGGCAGCCTGATTTGACTAGAAACATCAGTCAATTAAGCATCTTGTTTCTATCTTTTTTTTATTTTTTATCTTAAGCTGATACTACTACTACTACTACTACTACATGAAGGTTCTGTGTAAATTATTTATAACCAATATAAAGACAAGGTTTTAATTTTTCAAATGATGTATTATGTTGTTTTCAATACAGAGAATTGTCTATTTTATCACCAGTTCAAAACTTTTTTTCCCAATATTCACATCGAAAAGCTTAACTAAATTTTTAAAGGCTCTTACCATATAGTTAGAAAGCCAGAAAATTTTGTGATAATTATGAGACATTGTCTTCTATTTGCATGTTATTATTCTGTGTTCTTTGGTGCATTATGTAGTTAAATAAAAAATTTAGTGTATTAGTACCATTAGTGTGTGTGTGTGTGTATATACATATTACTTTTATAGAGAAAAAATCACCTTTAAAACTATGGTAATAATTTATTAACTTGGCAACGTTTCTAGCAAACGCTCTTTTTCAAGCCAAATTCTCTATTAGAGGTCCTAGATCATTGTGTTCTGTGAATAGCCATTTCAGCTGTACAACTAAATGTTTAGTTTATTATATTATTTGTAACACCTGTGACCAAATATACATAGGAGAAACTAGCCGAATGCTCACTGAACGTACACTAGAACACTTACATAGTATCTTAATTAAAGATCAAGATAAACCTGTAACTTGGCACTTCAACACAGCTGATCATTCTCTTGAGCACTTTAAAATACTTGCCTTATGTCATGCCCCTTTAACACCAATAAAAGAACCACTATCAAAAAAAGAAATAGATTTAAATTGGGTTATTTAAGTCCATTGGGTATTGACAAACAGTTCAGCTTTTTATAATTTTTTTTAATACCCTTCTTTTATTATCTTAAAATGTTTAAGTTATTTCTTTCTTTGCTAAAGTTGTTCTATATTTCTAATAATTTTTAATACTGTTTTTTAATCACCAGCTCTATCATATTGTTTTTAATATATTGTTTAATTCTCATAATTCTATCTTGTGTTACATTCTGTTTTGTGTATTATCTCATTTCAAAACATTCTTATAATTGTCATTAACTGACAGGCTTGTTTCTGGCTTGAAAAAGAGTTTGCTCAAAACGTTGCCAAGTTAATAACTTATAACCATAGTTTTTAAAGTTGATGTTTTTCTCAAGTCTAAATTTATTTTATTTTATCACCTTCACATTTTTCTACTTGTATACTGTTGTAGATACAACATTTCAGGTAATGCCCCTCATCAGGTATTTCTAGCTGAACAGGAAAACTGTAAACGACAAAATTCTAAGTTGAAGGTTGAGTGACAATATAGCAAATAAATGTGTCTAACAGTGTTACAAATGCTTGAAATAATATGAGGGAATTAGAAAGTTATATACACACACACACATACACAGACATACATACATATAAACAAATAAACTGAGAATTTGGTAAAAGTAAAAAAGTAGGAGTCAGCACAAGTTATAAGAAAACATCTATGAAAAAATAATAAAGGATTAGATAAATACATAATTTACTGTATATATGTTGTAAGAGAAGTTAAAACTTTTTTGTACACATTAAAAACTGAGGAGGCAAAACATGTCAAAAAGGCAAAAAATAAATACCCAGCTACATAATGGAACCCTTATTTCCTCATCCCCTGCCATTGGAGATATTATTATAGACTGATTCCTCTGTGGTAAGAGACTGGTTGGGCCCTCCCTTCATTTGAGATGTAGTATTGGGTTGCTACCTTGAAGTGTAGTAGAGTACAGCCCATTACAACATTGGTGGATATGACCAGCTAGATAGGACTTTGATTTACCTTGGGAAGCAGGCAAGGGCTCCTCCATCTTTCATTATAGTATCTATCTCATGACAAAGATGGAATGGCCTAAGGCTCTAGCTACCCTACACATTCTGCCCACCAGGGTAAAATGTAACCACCAGCACAGGATTTCCCTGGTTTCCTTTGCTCTACTATCTCAATTTAAAGACTATTAGGTGAAGAGTATTTCCTTCTTGAGAAGGATGCAGTCCCCCGTTGTGTGCTGCCCCACTAGTTGACTCTTAATATAATGGAAGTTGCATCTCATGGAATTTTCCTTTTCTGTTGCTACTTCAGAAAGGAACTCATCTTTATAATTGGTCAACACTAGCCCCTTCACTTTCTTCAGTGTGGGATTTTAGCCCTTAGTGATGCATAGAGGTAAGTAATAGTTCTGAAATTAACATCTTCCTCACCTGAAAATGTATTTGAGGTAGATACTTACTTCCCTTCACCACCTCCAACCCTTCCTCCTCAATTTTGGGGTATTTCATTTACCTTGTCAAGAATGAACCTATGATCGTGTGTTAGTGCTCATGAGGATTGCTGTGCATAGAGGTTGTATTGTCCTCCTATTGATAGAGGGCTACAACATTATGACAATTATGATTGTCTTATCTTGGCACAAGATATGTAGATAGATGTAAGGGTGGAAGTTTGTTCAAGGTTTTTATTATACACAGGAAATTCCACAGTAGTTTTGTTGAAGGAAATATCTCTCAGTGGTGCAGAGTGGTAAGTACCTATCTGAAATACATTTTCAGGTAAGGAAAATGTTATATTTCAATATATATATATATATTTACATTTTAGTGTAAATTTATACAAAATTATAGCTCAAACTACCTAACTGAGTGTGTAAAATCTATAAGATTTGCTGGAAATGTTGTTTATGGAATTAAGTATGTTAAACCATTTTTTTGGTACTCACTGAATAGTCTACACCTCTTGCTTTGATTACAGCTTACTGGTTTGGTTCTTTCTTACAGTTTGATCTTAATTAACACTATATACCTGATGGTTCTTTTTAAGTCCTTTTCTAAAATGGTTTTCTTTATTGATCCTTTTGCTGTGGGCAGGTTAAAGAGTGCATGTCATGACCTTTTAAAATTATTTTCAAATTTTTATTAAATAACTTTAGTATTGGTTATGTTGATTAAATTGGCATGAAAACATTTATAATTTAAATTTTAATATTATATATGTTTTAATTTCTTAATTTGAAAGGAAATATGAATGAATTTTTGTTTGCCACATAACATAGTTTATATTTTATTATGCCTACTATACAATGTGTACAGACATATATAGCTTGTTTAGAAATGCAGGTAAATTACAGGGGTTTTGTGTGCACTAATATAGTAAGTTGACAATTATTCTGTTTTCTAAAATTTATATTTACAACCTACAAAAATTAATATCTCTTCACCCTCCACTCAGACAAATATACAAGGCTTATGGTGAGGCTTAGCACATATGACATACGAGCATGAAATCTTATAATGCTATAACTACTCAAAAACTTTGTTTTTTGAAGTATTTTTTATTTATTCTTCTATTTTTTATTAAAAATAACTCAAATTTAAGCATTTATGAATAAATAGTGTTTATTGGTTGATGAAAAAGTTTGCTGAAAGAGAAATAGGATTTTATAACCATGTGCACAAATAATATCTTTGTATGCCTATACGGTATAGGATGACCAATACTCAAACACTTGTGATGTATATTGGATTGACTCCGAACCATATAAATGTTTTCACACATTCAAAGTGCAATCTTATTACTCAAGGGAATTCTCGTTGTAAACACTGTAGGATACCTAAGCTGATAAATTCCACATTTTGTTCTTGGAGAAGGTATCAGTTCAGTTTATTTCTTTGCACGTGTTTTATTGCTCTCGAGAGTATCATATTAGTGTCATTTAAACAATCTAATGACACAAGCAGTAATTTGTTGCTTTATTTATTTTCAGCAGATTTCTACTTCAGTCATTGACAGTAAAATTAACACAGAAAAAAATGTGAAATGTTCAGCAGTTCAAGTTCTCAAGAGAAGTACTTTGAAACTTTGTGACTAATAATGAAGAAAAAAGGGCACAGCTGCTCATTTTATTTCTGATTTTACAACTTTTCATTATGCTTTGATGATTTGTCTACTGGCTGAAGAACAAAAAAAATAGTTATGGTAAAGGTAATAACAGATAAAATATAAAGTTTTACTGAAAAAAAAGTTTTATATTTATTTAGGAGGTTTTGGAGGTTATACAAATGAAATTTAAGATTTTTGACACAAAGAAATGTATTTTTAATCGTAATTTAAAATTCACTTTGCATTTGGACTAATAAAAAAAAAGATTCAATATATTCATGGACAAATCCTTAATAAAAATACTTCATTAAAAATACTGATTTGTTGTATACAAAAAACATGTAATGTGTTTTAAAAGTGTGCCAAATTTTGTGAAGATACACATACTAATAAAAAAAAAAGAATTCAATATATTCATGGACAAATCCTTAATAAAAATACTTCATTAAAAATACTGATTTGTTGTATACAAAAAACATGTAATGTGTTTTAAAAGTGTGCCAAATCTTGTGAAGATACACATACTAATAAAAAAATTCAATATATTCATAGACAAATCTTTAGTAAAAATACTTCATTTTGTAAAGATACACATACTGATTAAAAGTTACAGTATAGAAACTATAACAAGTACAAAGTGGTTATGAGGTCGGTCACTTCGACCAACCCTGTGTTGAGAGATAAGTGCTTTAGCTCTTCTGATTTCTCTTTAGTTGGTCTTATCCGAAGGTTTTGCTTCTGTTAGTAACCTATGTTTGGTTTTTTATACATTTCAAGATTTTTTTTAATGTAAGGAGTTATACATTTCTCTGATTTTGTAAATGTATTTTTTTTTTACAACAGAAATGGATTGGAAGAAATTGAACTGGTTTGCTAAAAAGGTGGGATGGAAACTAATTTTTGATTTGAATGCATTGACACGTAACATTCATGATGAATGGGATCCAGGGAATAGTTTGCAACTGTTTCGGTTCAATGAGAAAATGGGGTTTTCTGTTGATTGGGAGTTAGGAAATGGTAAGTTTTTGACATTTAAAATATTGGTTTGTTTGACTAGTCTAATGTTTTGTTGGTTTGTTTGACTAGTCTAAGGTTTTGTTGGTTTGTTTCTGTGTATTGTTTCACAACACTTATTGAGTTATGAATGTTTGCTACCAATAAAATTTACAGATGTCCCCTTTTAAAAAGCAGTTACTTTACATGTTTTGACCACATTTTCATCATTTATAAACAATAATTAGAAATGAATCATAATAAATGCTAATCCTAGTTTTTGTCCATTTAATATATTTTTAAGCAAATCTGCATTTCATACAACTCTGATAAGTTTTTTGAATGTTTGTATAACTCATTAGTTTGATGGTCACTTCAAACTTAACAAAAACTATAAACTTTATATGTTCCAATCTAAGTTTTGTTTACACTAGCTTTAAATAAATTGATAAGAATGGTAGTATAATGTAACACCTAGGCAGCAGCAGCAGATCTCTGTTTCTGGTTGGGATCTGTTTTTGACAGCTGCAATATGTGGACACAGTCTTTACCTACATTATCACCAGCATGACTTACCTCTATCCAGAAGCTAGGTCCAATGATGCCTTCCACTCATCTAGTCTTTTATTTCTCCATGGCATTAGAAAGGTGTCAACATTGTGTTACAGTATTCACCCAAGTAATGTCCACACACAGCTTTTTGAGTACATTTCTTCTTTCTGAACAGTTAATTGGATGATATCAAATGCTCTCTGTAGGATGTATTACCCTGTTCTTCAACATCCACTCAGTCTCAGCACTGTCAATGTCCCTTGTGCTGAAGGCAATCATATGTGGTGTTTGTTTTTATAGAACACATCACATATGTCTGTGTGGTAGTGTCTACTGTTGTCTGACCCATATAGCCATTTAGTCTCACAAATGTATTGACAAACTCAACCAGCAACTTAACACAAATTGACTACACTAGCAATCTTGGATGTTGTGGAAGTTATTTGCTTTTGGATGAACTTGAGCTGAAGAACCTTAACTTGTAATTAATTAATTCACCAGAAGGAATATGAATAGCCAAATGTTTGTTCCAGTACTAATCCACATTTACAATGCGAACACTAGGTTGCATCCTTAGTACAGTATTAAAGTACACCAGGAAAGTCCCCAGGCTTTAGTGGCAAAAGATCAGTGTTCGGGACAGGATTTCTCTTAAACCATAGTGCATTCTTAAGTACTGGTCTCCTTTTAGTAGCTAACTTCTCCTCTTATAACAGTTGCCACACTCAAGAAAATTTTTACAAGGTTGGAGATTTTTCAGAAAACTTAAAATAATTTTGTATATATATGTTTTTAATGCTTTTATTATGACTAAGGCAGTCTATTGTATTTAATTTTTAACTCGTGTAACACTCGCTACTGACTCAGTCAAATCTGTCAAGTTCTGACCCCAAATTGACCTTTATAATTTCCATACTATAACTTCTAATATGTTTGTGAAATTTTGCAATCTTACTTTTTAGTATATATACCTCTTATTTTTCAGGGGCATATCCCTCTTTTTCTTTTTGGATCCTCGCAATAGGTTTGCTTCATGCATTTGTCTGTCCCAGACCGTACTCACCCATGGACTACATGGGTCAAGCAGAAGGGGGTAGCTACCCATCCCTGCCATGCCTTATATTGAATAAATTGGTATGGTCTGCTTTTCAAAATAGGCTTTCATGGTCACCCATTGCACTGTCTTAAATGTTGTTGTTCCTTTGGACTCTACACTGTGCTTTCCCCCCTTTACTTTTAACGGAGTTTGAGAGTTCTTACCACTTTCCAGTTCCAAGGTGCTGGAGTGGTGGAACATGTAGGCATCCTCCTGAATGTATTAATTAAATACAAATAATATATATAAATTATTATAAAACCATTCAGTTGAGAGTAGGATGGTAGAGTTGTGCTGGTGTAGATGACAAGAAATTTTCCACTATGTAATATGGAAGTGAGCCAGCAAAATTGCACTTCACCCCCTTCTATTAGGATTAAATTTTATGAAACAATTTCATACTTAGATAGTGCTGGTAGGTTTTAGAAATATGCTATTAACAAGTTAAACAAATGCTTTCTGTGAAATCATGATTTTTTTTCTATGAGATTACAAGTACTTAACTGAATTGTAGGTAAAAATACTTGTTACATAACCAAATTCTGTTTTGTGAAAATACTTTTTCTAAATGAACAGTGTTCCCTCACCTATAAATGCCAAATACTTAAGTTTCACCTGTTTTGTAAATGAGAATTAACTTGAAATACATTAAAAAAGCAGTAGAAAGAATGAAGTGACTAAAACAAAAGTGAAAAAGATGAAGTGAAAAAAACAAACTTCATATTCCTGTGTGCACAGCATTCAAATATATTGTTAATAAAACTATATATATAGTATGTGTATAGATCAACTGAGATTGATAAAAAAAATTTTGTTTTAATCGATCAACTGAATTATTTTATGAATTTTTAATGAATGTAAATGTAATAAAATATATTTTTTATTGTTAATACAGTAAAACAAAATGTTTTAAAGTTTAATATATAAAATAACAACAACCTTTCACCACCACCCCAAAATATGTAATATATATATATATATAAATTGTAATTTATTTTCCCATAATAGTTGTTCCTAGTCTTTACTATTTACCATTTATTTATTTTTTCCTTTGTTTTTGGTATAGACAGTGGTATGTTACTTGACATGATCAAGAATTTGTCATTCATTGAATTTTGAGAAGCAACATAAACAATAAAACAGGCTTATTAAATAAACCAGAAATAGTATATTATCCACTTACCTGAATTTGGCAGCTGTAGTAAATTCTGAATATGCTTCCTGTAATCTACCACAGGAGCTTGACAAATCCCAGTGATGCCCATAGAAAAATGTAATGAGAGAAAACAAGTTCAATTTACTTGCTGTATAGGATAAGTAATGTGCCAGTTTCATCTGTCCGAAGCTATTTTTATCTGCCTTGATAAGTGGGTAGTTGTTAATGTCGAGTCTTGCCTGGTACCCCAAGTTGATCTATATTCCTTTATTTACTAATGCCATTAAGTACAAGGGATATCCTCATTCTGGAGATTCAAAGTCCATGATTTGAATACATCTTTATTATCTGAGTCTGAAAATTTTGTGTCAGATATGGCTGTTAAACACCCATCCCAAAAGATTTTTGATGTGTCAGCACACAACCCATGAAACACCAATTTCAAAATGTAATTTGAAAAATTCTGTTCCACCACAACTTTATCTTGGCTGCGACTGTTAAATAACTTTCTGATTTGAATATTCATTATCATTTCTATATAATGTATTCCTTTGTTGAACTGTTTTGTTTCACAGAAGGATTTATTTTTACACAGAACTCAATGCCCACCATCGATTACATGGCAGTCAACTTGGAAAAGATTTCTTGACACTTCGCAAGATTTTGAACACCTTCTTCACCACCAACTCAAGTTTACTTGTAGGGCCTGATGTTACACAACCATCACATCGCTCTTCACGCCAGTTTCTTAAGACGTATGTGTTTATAAATTTTCTGTTTTACTTATTCATATTGATTACAGTAGCTTGCTCATTATTCAGTTCACTATCAGTTATTGTTTGTTTAGATATACTCTTTATTGAACCTGCAATATGATGTGTGATAATTAGTAAAAGTGGTGAGATGCAGACAAAAGAATAAATGGTTTAGAGTTTGTGGTTTGTGATGCATGCAAAGAGTAGATTCATTTTAAAAAGTAGGAAACTGCATAGTTCAAGAAGCTCATAATGACTGTTGAATGACGTGTAGAGCACGTTTGTTTGTGAAAACCATTAAGTTTTTTCTTTATAGAGAGTAAATGAACTTGAAAGTGGAAAAGCAATATAAGGAAGTTTCAGAATTAAGAAAGGATAAGGAAGAGAATAAAAATGAGGATTGATTGTAATGTGAAGTAAAAGTTCTTGGGATAGCTAAATGAACATATGTCATGTGTAGGTAAATGTATCAAATATATTTTAATCAAAGCTGTTGAGAATAACATAGTATACATACAAGAGACAGTTTGACCCTTCAAAACTGTCCCTATACACCCACACTTGAAGGAAAATAACAATTTAAATCTGCTCTATTTTTCAGGAAATCATTGATTTTCATTTTATGTAAGATGTTGACCTCCACTACTTAACCTTAGCCTGTCATGAACCATGATAGTGATTCATAATAGGGTTTGCCCAGATATTTCACAAATTTTCTAATATATTGTATGAGCAAAAACCATCTTAAAAAGCAGACTTGTGTTTGAAACAATACTCAATATCTTCTATCTCAATGGCTAAGGCTGCTAAAATATTGATAGTTGCAATAAAGTTGACTTTCCTATTGTTAGACAAAATCCATTCATTTGTTCATGTTATTCTTGTTTCACAAGCCTACAGATAAAATTTCTATGAATAGTTTATTAAAACCTGGGCAAACCTGTTCAGATCTCTTCTGCACAAGTCATAGGACTATTTTTATATTGGTTCTTGAAATAGAAAAAGAGATTTTATCAGTTTTTTATTACTACTGGCCAAGTTACTATTCAAAGCCATTCAAGCAATGAAGCATACAGCAAAAACAGCTAGGTATACTGCACCAAAATCTATGCTACCAAACAAACTCCTGCAAAGGTTGGAGGGCTATTTTTAAGTTGATTCTTGAAAGATGATATTTCCACTCTCTAAAATATTCTAATTTCTTCTTTGCTACCAACATAAGCTCTTTGAAGCCATTCAAAGCATTGCAGAAATCTAAAAGCCATTTAATCATTGTTATACTAGCTATACATCAGCAGGAGCATCTTAGTCTATCAAATCTGAAGAATATCATCACATTTAAGGATCAACTTACTTTATATAGAGCATATAAGTAATTCTTGAATTCTATATCAGTAATGTAAATGGTATACAAGTATTAGTCTACTAAAAAGTTACAAAATACAATGATCATACAGCTGTGAGACTGATTTGTCCTTGGTAAATGTACCAAACAGGACACCATAGGGTGTCCTCCTATATCCTTAATTTGAAATAACTAAATAATAAGATATTAACTTATAACTTCAAAAAATAATGTTTATGTATAGTGATGAGATGTAAATTATGAAATTATGTACCTGTGTTTAAGAAATAGGAATGAGAGAAGATGACGGATATAAGTACCCCTGAGTAGTGCATCGTATATAAACTACTTGTAAAAGGAGGAGAGGAATGCTCCATCTTCAGATAAAAAGGAAGTTGGAGAATAAGCGAAGCTAGTAAAGAGAAAATGTATTTGTTATTTGCCAAGCCAAGACAAAGAGTTCATTCAAAATATAGAATGAGGCACATTGAAGGAGCTAGTTACGAGCCAGGAGATTGTCGTTTATGCTCATCTGAAGACACCAACTTCTGTTTTCAGAAGAATTTTGTTTTTTGATACTCTTGTTAACTTTGACGGTATGAAAAAGGAGAGAAAGCAGATTTGTCAGAACCATTTAATTTAAAGAAACTGTGTTAGAAGTATATAGACAAAGACAGGATGATTGGCCAGAAGCCGTGAAAGCACAGCTATTTCAGGTCCATGATCTTCCAGCAGCTGATGTACTGTATCATCAAACATGCAGTGTCAACTTTAGGACCAGTAGATAAGTTTATGCTGCATACAGTATCACCTAGCTAAAAATGAAAGACATAGAACTGGAAACCCTAAAGACAAGAGACAAGTAGAAACTTCTAAGAAGCCAGTGAATTCCTTGAGGAGAGTGACGATAAACAAATTAGTATCAATGACCTCATAGAAGAAATGCATAAGATCATATATGGCACTAACTTGGAAGTATACAGTTTCAATTATATGAAGTAGAAGTTAAAGAAACATTTTGGTTGACAGCATAAACATTACACTTTAAAAATAATAGCCTTTGCATTAATCCAAGAATTTCATTGCCATGGTAAAGTTGATCCTGAAACTGAAAAAAGAGTTTAATTTGGACAGTGCTCTCTTAGAGGGAGTATGAAACCCCAGTGATTTTCTGCAATCATGGATGATTGGTTATCCATCTGCATGCTGGAATAGTCATCAGCATGGTAAGCAAAGTGTAAGTATCAGTGCTAGCAATAATCCTAGGATTACATCTGTTGGTCCACTTTCAAAAGCAATTACATGGATAGCAACACCTTTGAGATCAGTAGTTGAGGATTGTGCAGACTATCTAGACTTAATGTAGGAGCAGCAATTCGAGTAACGTTTTGGTGGAATATACCAATCTACATATGGAACCAGATGGCTGATTGGTTCAAACAACAACCACATAATATCACATAACTATAGGTGAAATGCATCTAATTAAACAGCTGAAGCAATAGGTATATACTCAGTTCTGAAGTACAACAGAGTTTGAAATGCAGGATCATGCAATCTTCAGAGAGTGCTTGGCCATCTCCAGAAGTGATTGTCAGGATGAAGAAAGGTATATTCAGGATCTACATTGATCTTAGATGGGTTGGTGTGTTAACTCACATAGATATCTTTTTGTTTTCATGAACAGAATGTTTAGACGTGTTGAAAAATGCCTATTGGTTCAGTGTTTTAAACCTGGCACCTGGGTACTGTCAAGTCAAGCTGGATGATGAGAGCAGATCTAAGACAGCTTTTAGTACAAAATATGGCTTGTATGAGTTTTGTGTAATGTATTTTAGCCTGAGTAACAAAGCCACCTCTTTCAAGTTGCTAATGAAGTTTAAACTGAAGAGGATGTAATGGAAGAAGTGCCTGATTTATGTTATTTAAGTCTTAGAACATAATAGAAGTCAAAGAAAATGTGTGTTCATGCACACAGAAGTGTAATTGTATGTGATAATGTGTTATGAAGATATATGTGGGTAGCACTGTATGGGTAGAAATAAATGTGTGTATGACCCACTTATGTGTAGCAATTTACATGAAGTCATTTAAATGTGTATAAAAGGAATGGATCAATTACACAAAGAATACAACTATTAAACAACATGTGAAAGGAAATAAATAATTTGATCTTGATGTTTAGACTTTGTGATATGAAATTAACTGTTACTACTGATCTGTAAGGTGTTATTTGACAATACAGCATAGCTTCTATTTTCATTTACACTTGTGAGTGAGGGTTTCAATTTTGACACTGAAATATTCAGCAGGTAGTAATTTTTCCTGGAAAGATAAGAGTAACGGAAAGACTCGCATGATATCTGTTTCTTTTTTGTAATGGTAATACATGTTATGTCAGTTGGATCACATGAAAATGATTAAGAGAAGGTGAAATTATCAGTAGTATTTGAAATTCACAGAAGAACACACAGTTTTTAGATATTTTATTAACTTTGTTTCAGTACAAAATTCAGTATAAGATACATGAAAATGTAGGCTGTGAATGCTCTAGGTGGGGTGGAAAGTAACACCCATTTGGTAAAACTATAAATTACATCAAAGCTAGTACTCAACTCCTAACTGGAGAAGGGCCCTAACGATAGCCCTAATAGATATTAACATTCAGAATAAATTGTTGGAATCATATAACATGAGTCTGCTCGTGTGTAAAGATGTTGTTTATGTAACAACCAGACAGTAATGGAAGGAATGGATCTGCATCAAAAAGTAAGTATGCTGGCTAGTGCCACAAGAATGGCATTAGTGGGCTGCATGGCTAAAATGGTATGGTCAAGCAGAGACACAATGAAGCATGTAGATTGAGATGTTCACAGGTGCCAGGGATATTTTTCAGTGGGCAATTAGAGCATTATCACATTTGAACCCTTTAGAAATGTTGCTAAACCAAGATAATCCATTTGTTACTCAGCCTCTAAAGGTGGTTTAGAGGGGAGTAATGGTTATAAAAGGGGCCATTATGATATTCATTCAATTTATACATTTAGCAGACCTTTTAAGAAATTGGAATTAATTGGCTTTGTATTTTTATTCCAGACCTTTGCTATTTTAAGTCAAATTTGGAACCAAATTGGCTATCTTCAACTAGCCATTGACATTTCATTTTCTAGTGTGATGAAGTATCTATTACACTGCCATGGAAGACAAGCTATGAGGAATCATAGTACACAAAGGACTATATTTTGATGAGGAGCTAGACTTCTTCACCAACCTGAAACACATGAAACTGGCCTGATCTACCACCTAGTATAGTCCATGAATGAAGATCCATTGTTGGTAGACAAATTGGACATTTGCGGCTTTGCCAAGTAGGTTTTGAGCTGCCATTAAAATCTCCAAACCTCAAGCATTTCAGTCTCATTGAACAGAATAGTGAAGCCAATCAAAGAAAAGCCAAGAATCACCTCCACTCCCATCATGCTGAGTTTATCAACTGCTCATCCTCTTCCATCAATCGCCACAAGAACAGCAAAGAAGAAGGTGAAATAGTTGATGCCTTGGCATTGGTAGTCTCTCTTAAGGTGCCCCATTGGTGAATGATTGACAAGTGAGGTATAGGCACTTGATATGCTTTCATTACTTCCTGAGCCCAAGAGGACTTTCTTGTGGTAATAGTCCCTGAGGGATGGATGAATGCCAGGAAAACAGGGGTAAGGAATCTGTTGATGCTTAACAGTTACTACCATTGATTTAAGTGACCAACACTACCAGTAGCTAGCTGGCTGCTGCAACCTCAATGTCTGTGTAAACTATCACCAGCACTGGCAACTGGGATCTCTGTGGCAAACAAAGAACGATCCACCTTGACTGCAACAAAGAAAGTTGTGGGAATTGCCAGACCTCATGTGCAGTGAAATGTGGCCTGAACAGCCTTCACCATAAAGGTCCTAGATTTCCTTCAGTAGCAATCAAAGACCAATGACCCCATCTACTACCATCACTATATTTCTAACAGTAGGACAAATGCATACTAAAGTAGAATTGCCAAGAAATGGTGGGCAAAGAAACAGAGTTAGAGCCTTGTATAACCAGTGCCCAATGCCATTTTCCCAGTTAGAAGGAAAAGACCACTAGCTGAATAAGACCAGATAAGTCTTGGTCCTGGCCAAAGCCATTATCATGCATATGATGACAACCAGTTGGCAATCTACAGCCTCTTTGAAGGATCTGCTTTTGGGATTGAAATAAGGTTGAGAGAAGATGGACTTTACAGCTATTGTTGAAGGAAGTGTACATTTTGTAAATATGTATTTCATATTTCATTTTTTGAGGATGTTGTCTTCAATCAGTGTTGTATATATATTTATGATGAAGTCCTGGGTGCATATATATATGTGCATAACATTTATAAGGGTTTGTCCTGTATGATGAATATAAATGTTTTTCTTGAATATAAGAAAATAGTATATTTGTTAAGTGTTTTTAGTTTATTTCATTTTATTAAAGGGATCTTAGTAACTGTGTTTGCCATGTTTAGTATGGTTGAACATTTTTCTTATGAAGGGTTACTTTCACTTGCATGATTGTACTTACCATATTGTTGATGTGTTTTGTGTTAATCATTGTTAAAGGGTTTTTGATTGTGATTCTTTGTTGTGGATTGACATTTTATTTTGTATCTGCATAGTGTTAGATTACCTTTTCATAAAGAGGGTAGGTGGCCATTGGTAAAGGGTGTAAGTTGAGGATTTCATTGTTAAAGTGTATTTATTTTGTGTTATCTTTGTTGAAAGTTTTTTATCTGTGCATTTCTTAGTTGAAAGATTTTGCAGCATGTGTTTCCATCTGTATTAATTGGTTTATTTTAGTATTATACGTAGTTTCTATGTTAAAGGGTCTATTTTGTATTGTACATGTTATTGTTTAGTTAAAGGGTTTTTTTGTACAATATTTATTTATTTCAGTGTATTTGGTTGTAATTTTTGTATTACATTTTTTCCTGATGTGTTGTGAAATCAGTGTTGTGTGTATTCTCAGGACAAGAAAAGGGTAATACATTCCTCAAACATTGTGTAAATTTAAAGTTTATTGGTTTTTAAGTTAAAATTAAGTGTCAACTTGAGATCAAGCCTGAAATAGAAAAGACAAGAAACTGTGATATATGAATATATCATGCATTGTTGTTGTCTTGTAATATTATAGTGTTTATTCTTAATTTATTCTTTGTTTTGTATATGCACAGGTTTCACATAACATGTAATGAAGAAAGCCATTAAGTTCATTTTGTCATAGCTTCATTTGTTCTTGAGTGGATAATATTGCTGATGTATAATGATGTCAATAGTGTCCTTCACTAGTTACTCAGGTGATATATATTGAGATTACAGCTTCACCTATGTTGTAATTAGAATGACCAGTCACGTGTATATCTTTCTTGATTGAATCTCACTTATTTAAATCTCATTAAAATTTTAATGCTAATGGTGTTAATAATAACACTTCCATTATATGGAAGGCTCCTTCAGGAGCTTTGATGTTTCAAAAATAATATTTTCAGGTATTCTTCCTTTGAACATAATGTAAGGTATAAATAAGCAGTTATTACGAATATGACAGGATGAAGAGGAAAACTGGTTAAATGTAGATCTCTACAGCCAATTTTAAGCTTAGAGAAGAGTCATTTGACTTTGTTGACTTCATTCGTAGAGGTGACTGTAGTTTTTTACTTTTAAAATAGAAGAAACTAACAGATTTGATCATTACTCTAATAGGAAATTACACTGTATACACTATCAAGTTTAGTTTCTTTCATAGTAATGCTACAAATCTTTACAATAGTAGCTGTTAAAATTGGAAGCATTGGTTACTGTTAGCATGTTAGATTTCATTGGTGTTGCAAATCTCTGGTTAGATAGAAATTATGAAGATTTTTTCAAAGGAACACAAAATCTGATGCAGACTCAAGTTCAATAACTCAACAAACCTATTCCTAGACCCCCAGGACATCCTGAGTCTAACTGCCAAGTTTGATCCTGCTGGCTCCAAAACTGTTTGACAATTTTGCAGACAAATAATAACCAAATTCACAAACATACAGCATGAATTAATATAGGATAAAGAGTGCATTAACTGTTGTCTTTTAAATGTCAGTTGACATTACAGAAATGTCTAAGTGAAAGATTGCTAGTGTAACTGTATTTTGAAGAAAGAAGGGATGAAAGGTAAATCGGGAAAATTATAAATGTATTATTGTGACGTCTGTTGTTAGCAAACTTTTGAAATCTAATCAGAGGGGCTTTAGTAATAACCTTTTAGAATCTTGGCATTTAAGAAATTTTAATATTGGTTTAAGTTTTATTTTCCATGAACAAATTATTAGGGTTTTATGATAGGATGTTTGTATTGATTTAGATGTTCAAAATTGTCAAGGGCTTTAGTAATATGCTGTGGTCTCTTTGTGTGCAAACTTGAGTATTAGGAATGTTAACTTTAAGCTCTGGAAATATATATCCATACATGTTCTGTTTTGGAAAACTGTATCTCTCTTAAAGTTGTAAAGTTTTGAAATGGTTTTTATGTAATTATGTGTATATGAAGGATCTTGTTTTGGTGTATTGCTTGGCTGTTTTGGTGGGTGTATAGGTTACTTTGGCAGAGTGGTCTACTGTCACCTTTATCATTGTCAAGATTTTATGAGTATTTTGTTTCTTCATTTTGACTTAATTTAGATTGATCATGCTTCCAATTTGATAATAAGGAATGAAGAATATTTGTACATGTTTTATTGGACTATTTTAATGAGCTTTAAATAAGTCTTTCCTTGTTTTATATATATATATATATATATATATTAGTCCTGTATCCAGAGTAGTTAGGAAGCAGTTTGAGTTTACAAGATTGGGCAGGATGGATACCATCATCCTTAGTTGGTATTTCTTATGTTCTTTCAAGGCTTGTAAAAGTAAGCTGTTAGCATGCATTTTGTTCACCAGCACAAGATACTTACCTATGAGGCTTAATTTTGAAATGTAGATTAATTTTTTCTTTGGTTGTTTTTGTTGTTTCCGGTTTCTTTTGGACATGTGAGATCCACTCAATACGTGTATGTACACCAATTTACAACAAATATATTTTTTAAGAACGGTATATACATTCAATTCATTTTATTAAAACTAATTTAATTTTTTTTTCAGTTTTCTTAAAAAAGCTAACTCTGTTGTGGATGCAGTCACTTTCCACCAGTGAGTATTTATTTATTTGTTTGTTATAATTGAGAACTCACCTTTCATATGCGATGTGCTATATTAAAGTCATCATGACAATTTAGTTTGTATATGTTTATTGATATTTTTGTACACTCTCAGAAAAGTATTATTATATGTAAATAAATTGACATGTTGCAATGTCTATCTTTAGGTGTGGAATGGATATGAATATATATATACCTTCCTGAACAAAGTTTTGTCATCTTCTTTATTCTACCTTAATCCCATCTAGTTTTTCGAGTTGGCCACCCGGGTAGTCCTCCAATAATTTCTATTCTCCACTTCCTGACTGAACAGTTTTGTGATATACCTCTAATTTTTAAAGAAGAAAAATTTGTCATTTACTTTTAGGTGATGCATTTCTTACTTCCTGATAATTATTTATTATTTTGTACTTATTTCAGAAGTATAATGAATATTAGGTTGTGGTTGTTAATGCTTCCCCCATGTCCTTTTCAAAATTTTTATTTAAAAGATACTACTGTAATGGAAAGACTGCTACTTTGAAGGACTTCCTTGACATTGACCTCATGGATTCGTTGGGAGAGGAAATTAGCACTGTTAAAGAGATCGTTAAAGAAACAGGCCCAGCCCAGTCTATATGGTTGGGTGAGTCGGGCTCTGCTTGGGGTGGAGGTGCACCTGGTTTGTCAGATACATATATTGCTGGATTTCTGTAAGTGTAACTTGGTTTATTATTATGAATAGTATTGAAATTTGTTCTTTAGATGAGACTTTGTTGGAGCATTTGTTTTATACCTAAGAAAAGGAAAACTTGTATATATCAAATAAGTAATTTTATTATATCAAATAAGTAAAAGATCTGTATGGGAATATTAAAATTAGTTTATACAGTTTCTATTTTCTCTACATTAGAATATTGAAAATATATCATCTCAAGCCTATTTGAATATTTTCACTTCATAAAAGAGATATGTGAATTGATTTGGGTGTCTTTGAATGCAGAGTTTTATAACTATTAGCTTTTTCAGTTACTAGATGGTTGTATTGTTTTTGTGGTATATATTTAACATGTAAGTATGTGTACTGAAGTTTGAGATGCAGCTTAGATTTTAAAATTAAGAATAACTTGAATTTATTTCATTCTGCAATATGTTTCCAGTTTTATAAAAATTTAAATATCTGTCATTTTCTAGTTGCATACGTTAAGATTAATTTCTGATAAAAGCAAGTTGCTTGCTTAAATTAAAACTAACAATCAACCAAATAATGAGTATAGTTATCAAATATACTTCTCGTACTTCCTTACTTATAAATATTTGTTTCATCAATTGAGTGCCCTTGTTGCTAACAGTACTTCCAATATGGTACATTACCTCTTCTCACATAAATAGCTATTCTTGTTCAGTGCTACCCTCTATATACAAAATATTTGTTTGCATGCCACAAGCTTTCAGCTCCACGTACCTTATAATTGACTGATTCAACTGCATTTTGCATACAAATCATTATGCAACAACTCTCCACCAATAAGAGTGTGACACTCTCCTGATGTATGTGACTTCCTCGCTTCAATTCTACCGAGCTATCACTTCTCATTTGGCAGTTCTCGTATCAGGACTTTTTTTTTGTTGTGTGTGTGTGTGTGAGTGTGTGCACTCTTCGGATTTATTCAACTTTTTAATTTTTTTTCGTTATTATTCTGAAGTGGATTTTCTTTTTTTCTTCAACAGTTAGTCACTTTTCAGATAACTTATTTTCCCAGATTTAAATTTTTTTCCAATCAAATTTATGTTTGATTTTCAATTTTACACAATGAATTCCAAAATTCAGGTTACCACTTCGGATATCATACCTTCAACTAGCACACTCACACAGGCTACAGGTGAGGGTGACTCGTCTTTGGATTTATTGGCTATCATTTGCTGTGAGATTGATTGTTATTTGAGTGTTGAGTGAACCTGCTTTTCCTTATCATGTCCTTATTCCTCCTGAACATGCCAAACCTGTTTGGGTCAACAAGGATTTTGACAGCTTTTTCCTGCCACCTGATTTTGCTGTATCTTTCTATGCCCCTACTGCAGAATCAGTTAGGCCTAAAACAACTTTTTTAGGCATGATTTCTCAGGCATGTTCTATTTTATCCATTTCCCTGATTTTGTATGATCCCCGTCTTTCTTTGTTACATGATACCTCCTCTCAGTATTTGGTTTGACCCCCTTCACCGGGATATTAGGGTTCATTCTAAGCATTTTGTTTCTCAGATGGTTGAAGGTGCCAGCATGCCTCACCCTCCATGGGCTTTGGATCAGTTTGCTTTGGCCTATCACCAGGCTGAATGTCCTAATCTCAAATCTCAACAGTTAGAATTGATTTTACCCATGTGAGAGACAGACCTTGATCATCCTATTCGTTTATTATATGCCCCATTTTCCTGCCTTTGTCTTACCCTATCAACTCTCCTATGGTGCTTGTCTACTATCCATCTCCTTTCTGAGACAATCCACAAAGATCCTGAGGCTTTTTTGCGGGATTGTGTCTCCAAGATTACCTCCATATTTGCACTTTTGTCTTTTTCAGCTCTTGGATACTCTGTTGTTGGGATCTCTTGAGGAGGGATGCAACTTGTCCCAGGTTCATCTGCCACCTCCTTATCTATGGGACTTATGTATGGCCCCTTTTCATCAGCAGTATGTTTTTAGTAATATTCCTGAGACTCTGGAATCCCATGTGGAGTCGGTGCGACCACTACCTGTTTTTCTTTGATAGATTGTTTGTCACATTCTGAGCCTGGGTCATTTGGCAGGAAGCTTCAGGTCAGTGATTCTGGCAGAAAGATCTTTCCATGTGACATCCTGGATCTTTTGTCTGTATGCCATGTCTTCATCTTGCCAGAAATCATATGGTTATGATCCATTTCAACAATTCTAGAGCAGTTGCTTATCTCATTCACCAAGATGGCATTAATTCTGGTTCCCTCTGTTGTCAGAACTTGGATCTTTTTGGGCCCACATGCTCGGTATTCGTATCATTGTGTGTCATGTTCTGGATGCATTCAGTCTCGTTGCAGATTGACTTTCCTGTCCAGACAAAGTGTAAGTGGAACATTTTCTGCTGTTGGTCTTTGGGTCAGTAGTTTTCACCCACTAGACCCACTGTTTTTCATATTACGGATTTCCTTACCTGGCTCTTTGATCAGGGGTCGTCTGTCTTTTCAATTGTGGGTTATCAAACTGCCTTATCCCGCACTTATAATTTTTTCCGCTACCTTAAAGTTTTCACATCTCTTACCCTTTCCCTCTTGTAGCATTCCTTCCAGATTAGTCATCCACCTCAATATGCTGTCTTTCCAGATTGTGATGTAAATGTGGTCTTCACTGCCTTGGTTTGCCTCTGTTTGAACCACTGTCCTCATGCTCGATTTTCTTCTTATCTCTTAAGACTTGTTTCCTTTTCCTCTTAGCCTATGGACATCGTAGATCAGGTTTATTTGCCATCGACATTTTACAAACTCTGTATCATTCCACACACATTCTCCTTCATCTCGATTAATCTTTCCTCCCTGAAACTATAGCAGCTTGGGAGGGTAATTCCTCCTCACCACTGATTTCTCTTCCTTGAACTTCCCACCTTTATCCTTGGTGAGATCCAGATAGACTACTATGTCCCATCTATGCTCTTCCTTTTTATGATGCCTGCATGGCTTCCTTCTATGGTACCCGTTTCCGCCAAGTCATTCCTTGGCAGGCATCCTCTGTTTGTGACCTTTCTCCTTCCACCCTGACCAGTTGTGTTCGGCTTTTAATTCGATTGGCTTATTCTTCTCTATCGTCTTCTTCCTGTACTTTGTTCCAGGTGTCTTCTCATCTGATCAGGTATCTTACCCTTTCCTTTGTCGTCCCTTGGACTACTCTACATATGTTCATATCTCGCTATCTGCATCGAATTGCTGTATCTTCATCATTGGGTTATAGTCTTCCACCTGTAGCCATTCTTCAGACTTCAGTGAGAACTGTGACTGGGTAAGTTATCTTTTATATCTATATCTCTTCTTTTTCAGGGGCTTTCCCTTTTTTTCTCACTGTCTGGATCCTGCCCTGTGGTAAGTAGTGCCTAACCAGGTACATTTAAAATAGTCAAATCTGTACTGTTAGGCCATGATGACTTAACAATTATAATTTCCATGGCCACTAAACATACACTGCTTAGATTGTGTATTCCACAAGATTGCTTGTAGGTTTGTCCTCATGATATATTTGCTTCATTAATATGCCCATCCCAGACAGCACTCACCCATAGACTTCATGGGTAAAGCAGAAGGGGATAGCTGCCTATCTCTGCTATGCCTTAGATTGAATAAATCAGGTGTGGTCTGCTTTTCAAAATAGGATTCTCGTGGTCACCCGTTGCACTGTCTCAGGTGTTATCATTCCTCCAGACTATCTACTGCAATTCCTCCCCTTTTTTTCTTCCAGTGGAGTATGGGAGTCCTTACCACTTTCCAGTTCCAAGCACTGGGGTAGTGGACCATGGAGACATCTTCCTGAATGTGATAATGATAAAATATACATATAATGATAAATCCATTCAGTTGAGAGTAGGGTGGTGGTGTTTTTCTGGTATAGATGATGAGATGTCCTATACTATGTATAATTGGAGTGAACTGTCAAAATCCCCATGTGGATGTCGGTTCCCAGCGGCTGGGTTTTGGATTTAGAGCTGAACCAATCAACACAAGTTCTCACGTGTGTGTTACAGGTGTGTCTATTTCCTCACTCAATTATACTCTTGTTCCTCCATCCATGTTGTGGGTCATAATGGAGGTACTTGCAGATTAATATGGTTCTTCCTCTTACACTATCTCTCAATGATTTTATTATATCGAGGATGTTATTGTGCTGGGGGTGGTTCCTGTCGGTTTGGTTTTGAGTGAGACAGCTTACAATACAAAGACATCTTTATGGAAGTTGGGTTCCAGATCGGTCAACCAATTTCTCACATTGCTATCATGTGTCCCATTCATGGATCGGGGGTATGAGATTCCCTCTAGTCTGATTAACATTAGATGAAGATGGTATGATCCTCTTGCTACCCCCTCGTGGATGTCGCTTTCAAGTAGCATGAGTTTTGGATGCAGTTGATTTGCTGTGTATGGTCTGTTGTGCCATAGCCACTCTACACCTGGAGGCACATCCTTTTATTCTCACCCACATTAATGTACTCTATGGGATTGATATTCCAACATCATATGGTTTGAATCTCTATCCAACCATCGTTCTCTCCCTTTTGGATGTGCTCCTCCCAATTTCCACCCATGTCTGTGACACCTCTTTTCACACTTGAAGAAGAGTGTACCTGGTACAGATATGGTATTCTTCTCCCACATATGATCCTCTTCCGTGAGGATCTACTCTTTTAAGGTGTCCTTCAGATGCTTTTGAAGGATGATGCTTTTTTCCTTCGCACCAGTCCCTCCACCTATGTGGGATTCCAGCTATTTATGTGAGCGGAGATAATGTACTATATCAGAAGTTATAATTTTCCTATACAAAAAATATATTTGCTATAGGTACTTGCCTCCTCTCACATCATTTACACTTTTTGCTTTTTTCCTTGTCCTGATAGGGATTACTATTTTTCAAAATTTAAAGTTGGCAGTTATGCTTTTAATATAAGTAAAATTAGAGACAGAATAGAGTATACCACACAGAACACACAAACACAAGTTGTTAACCTCTAGTAAGGTGCTAGATTTAACGTTTGCTGAACAACATAGTAACAGTGAGACCGCATGTATTAAAACCTATGAAATGGGTCCAACAGTAGTGGGTCCTTACATCGGAGTTAAATTGCTATAACACTTTTTATTATTTAGGGGTAAGTCAAGTGGCAGGACAATACCAATTGTAGAACCCAAACTAATGTTTATAAAGATGCAAAGTAAAAGATAATAATAATAAAAAACATATCAAATCAGTTATGAATTATACACCAGATAGATAGAATATTGGTACTCAGATTAGAATATAACCATGTTAGGTATAATAAAAAGAAAAACAATACATTAAACCTAATTTAAGGTGTGTCTGGCATAATTACTCTGACTTTGACTAACCTCTGTCATTTAATAAAACATGAAGCAATAAACAGGAAGTAATGAATAGTTAAATCTTTAATAAAAACTGAAAAGTCAACCTGGCAGGACTGGAGGAAGTTCAATAATAATAATAAGACATAAAAGGAAGTTACAGCAATAGTAAGTGTAACAAAGTAATTAGCAGAAACTAATGTAACTTAACAAATAACGTACTGTTATACCATATGTGGAACTATTATATAGCTACTATTAACTATTTACATACTACAAGCTAAAACTTACAGGAGGTAAAACTAATTTATTCAATATCTAAGAAATTAAAGTTTATACATGAGAGTTTTGAAAAGGTTGTTATATTCTGGAAAACTTTTAATCCCACTATTAGTAGCAGAAATACTGCAGTAGTAATTCACTCCATATCATTCATTTTCTTCAATCCTTTTTTTCATTTAAATCACTTAATGCATCACAAGTAATTATACTGTGCACATGTATTTAGTATGATCATTAACTCACACTTGGTGTAATGCAACAATACATATTTGCCTTTAAATTCAGTTTACTTCTCAAAAAATGTACAAGCATAATTAATCAATGAGTGGCACTGTAAGATTACAAGGAAAGTAGTTTGAATAAAATAGATGAAAGTCAGAACTTTGAAATAACATGTATGTACATTTGACCTGCGTTTTACAATCCATTAATTAATTATTCCTAAAAACATTGTACAGCAACAACAAAAATCATGATATAATAATTACATTGGTTAACATTGGTTTTGGTACTAATGTTGGGCACAACACAGACAGCCCATATTGTAGCTTTGTGCTTCACAATTAACAAAGAAACACACATTTACAAAAAACTGTGTAACACAGCGATCACAAAAGTGTACTTTATCAAATTTTGTCTTGAGTACATTTCTGATGGCAAAACAAATTCTGTGCTTCTGTTAACATAAACTGCTTTCAGAAATTTTGGGTGATAAACAACTCAAATGATATTAGGTCTACTGCAGGAATCTTCACCTTGTCCTTCAAGCTAACTTTATTGTTTAAAAGATGGATTGTGTGTGAACTACTGATGTTATAAACACTTAATACTTGATTAGTATTTAACTGAGTTAAATGTGAGAGAATCTCTTGCCAGTTGTTTTTTAGATTATACACATCATGTGTCAAACATCACCCAGCCTGATGTTATTACACTATATGTTAGTACCTCTTACAAAATTAATTATAAAAGAATTACTTATTGTCAGTTATCAATAATGATGAAATGATTTGAATTTTCACACAAATAGATTGTTGTAACAATATGAAATACAGTAAAGATGAAAGCTATAACAACATCTTAACAATAAAATTGTATGATTTATAAAGCCATTTAAACTAGAAAGTATGGTGAAACATACTAATACTTTTTATAGTTCATTTAATTTATGCAGTATGTATTAGTAACATTTCAGGTAATCTCACTTTTGTTTAAGCATGTCTCAGTGCTACCTGTTTCATAATACCAGATCACATTAAGCATTCAAGGGGATAGATTTTATTGTTGTGGAACAATCTATTAACTGCATTTGCCTGTAGTTTGTTGTTAGTTTTTTATTAAGGCTAGTCTTGAGCAAGTGCTTTATTTTATCTATTTTATTTAGCTGTGTAGCACTCATACTGATTATTGATAGTGCTATACATCTAGATAAGATTGAAAAGATACAAAACTTATTTAAGATTGGTTGTCAGGTTTATATATAGATGGGCCAGATTATGTACAGTAGGTGTCTGCAACATGTTGGCAGTAAATCTCAACACTAAACAAAGAGCACACAATCCACTTGTTTTAAAATTAATCTATTAAAACAAGTCAAATGTATATATATACACAAATGTTCATTACACAGTTGTATCTAGAGCTTTAAATAATCGCCTCTTTTCGTCAAATTCCAACTGGTTCAGTTACTTTAGAACACAACTGACAAGACAAATTATTCTTCCTGCTCTTTTGTTACAATACAAGTGGTGATAATTTCACTTATATTACACTGTTTGTTACCACAGTTGTATCCATAGCTTTAACTAATTGTCTCGTTTTGTCAAAGTCCAAGTAGGTTGGTTCAGTTACTTTAGAACATAATTGACAAGACAAATCTCGTTTTGTCAAAGTCCAAGTAGGTTGGTTCAGTTACTTTAGAACATAATTGACAAGACAAATTATTATTCTCTACTTTGTTGTTACAATACAATCTAAGATAAATATTTTCGCTTCAAAAAAAGCCACTGTATGCTCTTTATGGCTGAACTCACAATCATACAATCTAGATCTATCTGTCTAACTTGAACTACAGTTTGTATGTGTCTGTAGCCTGACTAAGATATCATGATGCAATACTACTCAATTAAAGCAATGAGAAAAACTTATCACATTCAACAGTCATTTATATCTAACACTGGTCGTGGGATATCAAAATATTATTACACCAAACAAGCTCCAACAATGTTACAGAACACCAAATTCTTCATTAGGGCCTGGCATTCCATCATTGAATCACTGCCCTTTTTTATAGTGGCATTCCAACTCCATAACAACCCCACAGATACCAACCAAGCAGGGGATTGCCTAAAAGGTGCCTCAGAGGACAGTCATGGGTGGACAGGTGCTATACAGCAATCACTTGGATAATTCTTCACTACCAGATCTCAGATTTCTGCATGTAGAATAACCATATGGTAATACTTAGACCTGTGGAAGTCAGATTAAACATAAAATGTAGAGTTTGGGCAGAGGATGAAGCAAATAAAGTCTGTCAGCATCTGTTTAAAGACCATAGTGGACAGTTGCATGTTATTACACCAAAAATAGCAAAAGACCTAGTTAACCATTTATCATCTCACATAGCAACATCTGCATAAGGCTGATGGAACACTGAAACTTCCCACAAGCAGCACAAGGATGGATCTAGAAGCCATAAAGCAATCTTTCCTCTTGATTGCTGGAAGCAACAAACCACAAATAGACATTGCCACCAATATAATATATGCAACTGAAAAGCAGTAGTGCATAAAATTCAGAATGATTGGTTCATAGATGATTGGCAGAAAGCAAATCAAGTGCCTGGTAAGACTGTCAGCTTGATGTATTTACCAGGTTATGCAAAGGTAAAGGTAATTGAGAAAGCTAACAAGCTCAAAAAGAAACCCTTTATCCAATCCAACTATGGCACGGTGTTAACCTCCTTTGCATTACAAAGATGAAAGTGGCAACCATGGAAGGTCTTCATTGACATTTAGAAGGAAGGAGACTGCTGGAACTCTCTTTTACTGCTTGTCACTTAGTTCTCAACAGACTTGTGCTAAGACTATCATTAGGTTGTTCTGATGAAAGCATTAGCACAAGAGTCTGAAATTTCATATTCCTCTAAACTGGGCATTTGGAGATTCATGGACAATTCAGTGGCAATGTGCAAATTGAAATGGTAGAAATATCATGATATTAACTTGTTTACCTGTGATTGTCACCTAACCTGGCAAAGCATTTTACTGATAAGTGTAATGTGATGAAACACCACAGTAATTTTACCAAGTAAAATACAATATTTCCAGGTTGAATAATGTAATAACAGTGTATCAGCTACATTTATCTTATTGTAGTTTGTTATCAGTTAATACCTCTCTCACTGTTAATGCTCTACATAATTCTATCAATTATATGAGTCTTCTAGTAATACAGTAAAGGGTGCATTAGATATTTATATGAGTTTGATGTATTTTGATTTTAGTATTTACAAATTGACAGAAATAATGATCTTTCATTGTATGCAGTCATTTTCTATATAAACAGATGGCTGGATAAACTAGGTTTATCTGCAGCACGAGGTCTGGATGTAGTACTACGTCAAAGTTTTTACAATGGTCATTACGGTATGATCACTTCAGATCTTCATCCTCTTCCTGTAAGTATGTATATGTGATTCAGTCCTTTCATTGATCCTGTTTTATATGATTTTGTTAAAATAGGTTTCAGTTTATATTGATATAAAGTAATGTATATACAGGTAAGTGCCACAAGAAATTTAACTTATTTTTAAGATATCAGACAGCTTTCAATATTACTCTCAGTAAGTGGAATGTAAAAAAAATTGCCATTTACTGTGCATGAGGACTTAATTGTGCTTATGGTTAGGTTTCGTATGATTACACATAAATGAAAGAAGAATAGATTACAAAGTTCTGTTATATTTCATATCTGTCTGGTATTGAAACTAACATCTGACTAAAATCATTATTCACTGTTCTTTTGTTTCTTGTGGAAGTAGATAGTGAAGAAACTACATCAATTTTAACTGTAAAGTTACTTTGTTTTTTGTTTTTTTTGCAAACAGAATATATAGTGTGTTTTGGAGAGTGGGAAACTAAATTTAATAAAAGGTTGTGAAACAGTGAGATTTTCTTTGTGGATTAACAAACACTAATGGCATAAGTGCATGACCTTTTTTTTTCTTGTAAAACAAAAAAAGAGATTTGAATTGCCAAATGAGATATTTCTGTAACAAATTAAGATCAGAAAACTCAGATGAGTAAACTATAGAATTCTATTTCCATTGTTGCTTTGTTTTAGTTTTATTTTCTTGTTGGTTTTATTTTTAAATTTTCATGAACTGTGTATAGCTACTTGAAGTTCAAAATCTGATGTTGATAGTTATAGGAGTTTAATATCATAATTGTTGCTACAAATCACTATGTTAAAAATGAAATCCAGAATTTTTTTCTGAAGTTGAGAGCTGTAACTTGTGAAACAGTAAGATTATTTCTGATACTTCATTGTATTTGTATTTGTTTTCTTCATGAGGCAGGATTTTTGGCTGAGTGTCTTGTATAAGTGGCTTGTTGGTAGAAGGGTCTTACGAGTGGATGTTATGCAAAAGGAACGAAAGCTTCGAGTTTATGCACATTGTACAAAACTTGGAAGGTGAGCTCTCCCTATATGATTGGGTTTCCTGCTAGTAAGTTAGCATTAGCTTTGCATAATGTTAATTTAGTGTGATGATCACACTATCATCCAAACCATATTAAGTAACTTTAGGCTTTGTATCTAAATAATGAATGTGTGGTTATCATGGCATTAAGATATATGTATTAAATATTTTGATACATGTACTTATGTTATGCTGTATCAGTAGATGAATTGTAAATAGTCATATGGTAGAAATATTTGGCTTTTAAAGATGTTTACCTTGGGAAATTGAGAGAAAACAGGTAACATAATATTATCATATGATTAGGGTGTACTTACAGATAACATGAGATGATCATGTGACTTGAATCTATTAACAGCTGAAATTTAAAATTAGTTTGGCAATATTACCATTGCATATATTTTATTTGAAGTTTAGGTTGAAGAAAAAAGATCTTACACAATAGTTTTTTGCACACAGTTTCATTTCATTGTATTGGATGCGTATCTTAATATCATAGATTGAAAAAATATTTTTAGTTTTGTGTTGTTTATTTTGTATGTTGTTTTCCCAGTTGTTAATATTTTGGCTTGGTTTTTTTGTTTTGTTTATGGTATCGTTCATTAAACCTTGTTTTCAATAATTTGCACTATCATAAGATAGTTTTAAACAAAATATATTTATGTTAATTAGATCCTTCACTGAGTTTTATCTATTTATATTAAATAAATTAAAATTTATTTTTGAATTTCGTACAGAATGGTTGAAATTCCTGCAAGAAATGATAAAACTAAAACGAAAGTTAATGAGATGTAGATTTTTAATGTAAAAACAAAGACATTTTTATAATGCTTTCTCACATAACAATGTAAAACATTTCTTTCTATAGTTTCATTCTTTTTTGAAACTTTTAACTGCTTTATGTCCCTAATAAAATAAACAATTTAATGGTTGATTGTTAGTTCAAGAAATCATGGGAATAAAATATATGGGAAATAATAAAAGAACACAATATCATGTACAGCAGTTAGTGAAAAAAACCACAATTTCTTCCATTTACTGTGTTTTTTTCACTAATATGGGAAATATTCATGACGTAATGTTGTTTCTAGCATGGTGTATTTATCTTACTGGAGCATATAATTTTTTGGGGGAAAACTCGGCTAGCCATTTCAGGTGGTCTTGCAACCTATGTTAATCTAAAATATTTGTGAACGTTTTGTAGTTATATTATCATCTCCTGATGTAGTTTTGCATGATTGTGCTATAAATTAGAGGCTTTTAAGCCTTCTTTTATTGTTTCTTGATTGAAGCAATGATCAACTTCAGAAAATTAATAGTTTGCTAATTCTTATCTTTCTTTCTGTAATTTTTGTACAGAAATGCTCACTGGATGAACATTTTCATCTTCACCTAAAGTTAATGTGTATAAGTTGTAAACATATCGTTACATATTTTATATTACAACTTGAAAAACTGAAAGGTCAAGAAAATTTTAACAATATAACTTACCAGATTCAAACACTTATAATAAAAGCTAGTGTATAGTTATATCATAACATGTTATATCATTGGGTGAGTTCTAGTGATTTATTTGGTAAATTTAATGCGAAGTCCAACCCATGTAATTGTAATGAACTAATCTTTTTTCTGTGTAGGTTATGTTCACTGGTAGGCTAAACCTCACAATGTTTCAAAGGACTAAAAACTAATGATATGGCTAACTTAAAAATATACCTAATCAATCATTTAATTGAGAGGCCTGGCATAGCCTAGCAGAAAGGGCACTTAACTTACAGCCTGTAGATTGTGGGATCAAATTCTGTCACTGAACATGCTTGCCCTTTCAGTTTTGAGGGTGTTAAATAGTGGTGGTCAATCCCATTATTTGTTGGTAAAGAGTTTGCAATGGATGGTGTTGACTAGCTGCCTTTCCTCATGTCTATCACTTCAAAATTAGGTATGACTAGTGCATGTAACCCTCTTGTAGCTTTGTACTAAATTCAACAAACAAGCACTGTCTTGAACAATTTTCTTGCTAATCAATCTGTGACAAATATGCTAACTTACTAACTCAATAACTGATGAACAGACTCACTAACCAACTGAAACTCTTTAACTGACACTGAACTGAATAATAATTGTAATTCACTCAGTTAAGCATTTTATTATCATACTCTATTTCATAAAGATTCGAGATTTTATCTAAGTTTTCATGAAGTTCCTAGACTTCATGCAATTATTATATTGTACAGAAGACTTCCTCAAGTTGAAAAAGATTAAAATATTAACATATTGTGAAGTCCCTTGAACAACCCTAATACCCAAGTAAAATTAAACATTACACTAAACTTCAAATTCTATAATCAGCAATAACTTCATTATTTACAATTAACAAAAAATCAGTGTTCCCAAATAGGCATTACAATAACTGTATTATTAGTTAAAGGTATTAAACAAAGTACAATAAATATAATGATTAACAAAACAAAATCTCTGATATTTTATTGTCCATTAACTGAGTCTTTTAGAAGGTTTTCTTTACTGAGGCTAATGGTATATAGATGGGATGACTTCTTGTTCTCTATTGTCACTTTTTGTCTTATTAATGGGGTAATTCTCTCTAGTGAATCCACTGGTGGCTATGTCCATAGTGATCCTCTGTAAGTCATCTCAACTGGGCTCTTCAGTGGTTGACTTTCTGCTGGCAAATTTGTTTCTGAAGCTGTCTTGACAAAAACTTTGGGCTCTTCATATGGTCTTTACAGAAGTTAACTAGTTGGTTGCTTTCTCATGGACATTTTTCCATAAATAGTCATGGTGGAAGACTTTTGCTTTGAATCACTTGCACTTCAAGATTCTATAAACCACATCATTGATTTTTTTTCACTGCAACATATGGTCCTTCCCAATACCTGCTTAACTTTGGAATTTGTCCTCTCTTGTGGTGAGGATTGTAAAGCTATACCACGTGACCTCTGGAATCTCGTCTTATCAACATTAATATCGTAGTGACTTTTCATTTTATTACTTGCTGATTTACGTTTTCCCAAGTAAATTCATGAATGACATCAGTAGTGTTACTTATCTTTCTGCATATTCTGTGTAAGACATTGCTGAGTAATTACCTTCAAGATGTGAGTACAAAAGGTCCAATGGCACTATGAGTTCTTTCCCAAACATCACTGATGATGGTGTGTTGCCTGTAGTTTCATATACTGCCATTTGATAACTCATAAGTAGCATTGGAAAATCTAGATCTCACGTTTTCTGATGTTATTCCACATAAATGGCTAATTGATTTAAAATTGTACCATTTTCCAATATCATCCATCCCTACAAGTGTTTCACAATAGCTCAATCACCTCACTTCAAAAAAAGACAAAAAGTACTAAATTAAAATGCAAAATTGTTTATTATGACTTAAATATACATTAAACTACAACAAGAATGAATACAACATAAAATAAACAAAAATAAATGTATTTATCAAAATACAACTACAGAGAGAGATGTATTTGAAAAAACCAAACAATTTCTCAAATTACTATACTGGTACATATAAAACTACTGTAGTTTATTTGGCCTTTCTAACTGTGCTACATGTGGGTTAGAAAAATGTCATTTCTGTTCAGAGCAACAATTTACTCAACAGGCTTCAAAACTTCCTCTCAGAGACACGTTTCCCCTTCAGGTCAGTTACAAACAACCATTAGATTTACATAGTTTGGAATGTGCACTTTCTATTGGTTATAAATATATACTTGAGAGAAGTAGGTTTGAGTAGACAAGAGGTTTCAAAAGAATGGAGCTGTAAGTGGGGCTACCGTCATAGTCTTGTAAAATATATTGATATCTCAGCAAATCAAAAAGATGTTTTGTATCCTAGCTTTTAATTGTCTGATATTTGAGTTTCTTATTTGTTAACAAGTATATACATTGTATGGTAAGTGTAATAAAATATAAACTAAGCAATGAAACAACAAGACATGCCATGTGACACAAAATAGCATATTTGGAATTTTTAAAAGATTTTCTTTCAAATTAAGAAATTAAAACACATATTAAAACTTGAATTATAAACTACATTGTGATGCCTACTTTATTGACATACAATAATAATAAAGTGGTTCAATTAAATTTTGAAAATAACTCTAAACGTTGTGACATGTGCCCTTTGACCTGTTTGTTGAGAGTGTTAACTAATCATAAGCATTATCAAAGGTCTTCACATATGTGGTTGTGCCATCCAAGTAGATTAGTATGATGTTCTAGAGTATTTCAGAGAGAGTACACTTCATTAATTGTGGAAATGCAGTAGGTGCATTAAATAATCTGTATAGTAATGCAATTGCTACAGTCCATTTCCTGTAATTAAGGCTGTTTTCTCTCTACTTGTTTCGTCAACTTTCACTTACCATTAACCATTCTTCAGATCTAATGCTGAAAACCATTTTGATTCAGATAAAGCATCCAAAGTACAGTCAATCTTTGGAAGTGGATAGGCATCCTTCTCTCTGACGTCATTCACCTTTTGGTATTTTTCTTAGAAACTCGTGGATATGTCCTTTTTTTTTCACAACTATGTTAGGTGATGGCTGAGAACTAGTACCTGAGCAAGTCATTTAATCTTTGGCATTGAACGTAAGACCTTCACAGCTCAACCTGTACAGCACTTGTAAGTAAGATGGTAAGTCATCCTTATTGGTGGATTTGACTGTGGAAATACTGCCTGTACAGTTTCTAATCTTGCAATTTTCCATCCATACTTGAATATCATAGTTTTATATGTTCATGGCCATAATGATGACATCTTTGTTCTTCAGATTCAAGAGTTATTCAAATGAATAATCCCTCAGGGCATGCTGGATTGTTTGGTTCTACTACACCCCAATAAAACTAGATGTAACTTTATTCCTAATGTGTCCTGGAATGAGTATTTCACTTTTTGATGGCATAGTAACTGCTTTACTTATTGTTTCTGGAAGTTCAACCTCTGGTGTTGCAATTGTCATGTAGTGCACAAGGATATCTTGATCAAAGACTGTGTAGCTAGCCTAACCTCACATCTTTCCCAATATGCACTTTTTCTTTAGATGTTCATTACTGACACATCATGAGGTGTATTGAAGTGTCCCACAGTAAGGATAACTTCCAACTTTTATCTTGCTGGAACTTTGTCTTCTTGCTGTTCTCATCAATTCATCTTCTTTCTTCATCTGTGGAGGCAATTTCCAATCTTTCATTATCAGATTGGGTCAAATGGTTATAAGTTTACCCATCAATAAGCCCATTGACTTGTTGACTACTTTCTTTAAGTAATGAACTTCTTATCTCGCTTAGAACAGATGAAGTGTTCTCAACTAAGCTTTGCCCCATAAGTCAAACTATTTCCTATTTTCTGATGTCTGGTTATTTCTTTGTTGTTCCGTTGATCAGGCTGGGCTTGAAGACTCATCATTATGATATTGTCTCCTTGGTTTATTATTAGTTGTTGATTCCTCATAGTCTCAGTGGTAATACCATGTTTTCTATATTTTATAACAGTTCCCATTTGCTTAAATCATTTGGGAGGAGTTATATTTTCTACAGGCTTATGAGTGCAGTTTCTGGCAATATGTCCTTTCAAGTTATACTTGAAACATGTAATATCATCTGGTTTACTTATTTCTTTCTGCATAACATTTGTCTAACTAGTCTTTTCAGCTCTTTTTTGACTATTGTCAGTGTGAGTTGATGTTTCAATACTACTTGAACTGATGATCCCATAACTTCTAAATGGTACATTATTATTTATGTGCAACTCTAATGGATTCAAGTTCCATCACCAATTTTAAAGATGTACATCTACTTTGCTTTAGTCTAATTCGCATATCCTCATCTGTTAGCATCTACAAATTAGTCGCATAACAATGAATCCATAATTTCACATGATGTACCCAGGTAAATTAATTGGTCAAGCTTTTCCAAATCTTCTACATGTTTGGCTAAGGTCCCCTCTGTTCTTTTTACTCAGCTTCTGAATTTTTCTCTGTAAACTTCCTTCTGATGTGCCACTGTGAACCTGTTGGACAAGTCAGCTACCAGTGTGTAATAGTTGTTACTACTCTTGGCTGGAAAGTTGCTTAATGTTATTAAAACCACTCCTTTAAAGGGGCAGTGAAGTGAATGGCTTTTTGTTCACTATTCCAACCGTTCTGTTTGGAAATTATTTCAAATTAAGTCTGATATACCTCCCATGGTACCTTTCCATCATAGTCTGTTGGTTTCTCAATTGAGCAGCATTGTTGAATTGACTTGCTAATTTGTGGATCTGGAATTGGTAGTGACATAGCTGGATTAATCCAAAAAGGGCTTGCAGTCATATATGTCACATTAGTAGTGGTGATAAAAGTAGAATTAAAAAAGAACCTTTTCTTTTACACTGATTTACTATCTCAAATCGATTTCACATGTTCACCTTAAGGAGTGTAATTCACAAAATCTCATCCACTTTTTGTACCTGCTGTTAAATCTTGTAATATCTTATTTTACTTATATATATATATATATATATATATATTACAGAATATCACTCCATCTACTTACGTGCTCTTCCATTAATCCCTTTCCTTGCTTAATGCATTCTCATTATTTTTCTTAGATTTAATTATATCCAATGAGTCACAGATATTTCTGGTACTGTCATTTTTGAGCTAATATCATAAATTATCCCTTTGAATCAATGTTGTGTTATACTAAAATGCTCAACTAAGAGTGAAATTAATGAAAATGTTTATCAGTGGTTTAATGATGTACGGTGTGTGCTGCCCGGAGGTAAAACTGGCAGAGATGGTAAACTCCAAAAGAGGATTGCTGGGTCTCCTCTTCAAATGTTGCTGGTCCACTCCTAGAAACTAAAGGAAGTCATTGCTACATACTCATTTTTATTTACTATTTCAGAGCATTATCATAATCATCAATGTCTACAATATAAGTAAAGAACAAAAACAACTTTTAAACTAAATGTTCATGGGGAAAATCTCTGTAAACACCATTGTATGGTTGATTTACCTTCATTTTGATTATCACTGTGTCTACCTAAAGCATTTCCACTTTTGAAGTGATAATAATTCTAAAGAATGTAATGGGTCTGATGAAACTGATGATTCAAAATTATCTACTGGAGAACCATGGGCTCTTACAAAAACAGTCTCTGGTTTAACATGTACTTACAAACCCTAACTAATGATAAGGACACAGACGTGACAAACTAGTATCTGGGAGAGAAATGCAAAGAAGGAAGCCAAACAGATGATATTCACTAATGTTTGTCAAGTATGAAATAACTTTTGAATAAAGTATATCTGAAACAATTAATGTTCATCTACAACTGACATTATCATGTTCATCAGTAAATCTAAAATTTTAAATGGTGAATTTAATGTTAGGCAAGCTTTCAGTCAATTCAGGGAGTGTTTATCATCATGAAACTAAAAAAAATAAGCTCTAGATTATGTGCAGGGCTAATAAGAAGGGGAGACTCCTGGTGCCAAATTATCAGGGTCTGGGACCAAGGAAGCACCTGGAAAGGGAAGGAAGAAAGAGGAAAGAAAGAGAGAGACACACACACACACACATACTTTGGCAGTACCTAAGAACTAATAAAACAATTGTGCCTTGCATTGCATCTGATGAACATTGAAGGAAATATTACATTATGCATCACAGGGTCTAAAGAACTGATTGACCTAAACTCAGTCTCTATTGAATCATATAGACTACAATCAAAGTGAGTTGTTTCTAAAACTTTACCAGTAGGATTTGTTTAGTTACATCTTAATTTTGATAAGTTATGTCAAGTAAAACATGGGTTTAATGATATTATTGACTCTTTTGTTATGAAAAAAATTCGTAAAGGTTTCATGTAAATTTACCATTAGTAACTTAAAAAAAAACCTTTAAGATTAAATGCAGGACTAATCAGAAGGAGAGACTTCTAGTGCCAAAGCATCAAGGTCCAAGACCAAGGAAGAAAGAGGGAGAGAGAGAGACACACACGTACACATACTTTGTCAGTACCTAAAAACTAATAATAAAAATTGTGGCTTGCATTGTGTCTGATGATAATTGAATTAAATATTGCATCATACAATTTAGGGCCTGAAGAACTGAATGCCCTAAACTCTTTTCAATATTACTGATACAGGGGCAGATTGGCATTAAAGAACCAGCCCAGGCAATATCACATGCTGCACAATGGCTAAACAATTAAAATTTAAAATAAATTTCTAAGAATGTGTCAAGTGCACTGCACTACCAGGCAATTACCTGGTATCCCAGTGGTCCAATCTGCCCCTGTACTTGTGGTATTGCAGTGGGCCAATCCACCCCTGTACTGTGGTATCCCAGTGGGCCAATCCACCCCTGTACTGTGGTATCCCAGTGGGATCAGTACAGGGGTGGATTGGCCCACTGGGATACCACAGTACAGGGGCGGATTGGCCCACTGGGATACCACAGTAGAGGGCTGGATAGGCCCACTGGGATACCACAGTAGAGGGCTGGATAGGCCCACTGGGATACCACAGTAGAGGGCTGGATAGGCCCACTGGGATACCACAGTAGAGGGCTGGATAGGGTGTAAGCTGTAAAACAAGTTGGTATTGATGATATCATCGACTCTTTTGTCATGAAAAAACTCACAAATGTGTAATAATCTAAAAGAACACACTGCTACAACCAGGATTCAACAAAAAACTTATTAAACTGGAATGTAAGCAACTAAATTAATTTCTCAACCATGTGTTGTGTGAAAACTGCACATGCCTATAATAACTGACTAATTTCAAAAAGTTCTGTATTAATATAAGAAGGTAGAAAACATATGTTAAGTCTTTATACCACAGTAAGAGAGTCAGTAACAGTATATACATTTGGAACAAAAGAGTTCCAAAGAATCATTATTTTGCTTTTTTCACTTTGTTGCATTTAGTTAAATAAGTTTGTTTTTCAGTTTTAGACTTTTTTTTTGTTTGGTAATATGTCCATCATTCATTTAATTTTTCTGAGAACCCCCCTGTTTGTTCAGTGGTAAGTTTTAGTTTTAAAACTAAAACTTGGGTTTGATCCCTGTAATAAACACAGCACAGATAACATACTTTGCAACTTAATGATTAGTGACAAACAAATAAACTTTCTATGGTTTTTGCTCTTGGTACAAGTATTATATAAAAATATGTATGATGGTAAGTCCAGTTTGTTGTCAAAAAACGAAATATAAAGAAAAGCATGACTATATAGATATACATGCATTATAATTTCATTATCTTGTATTCAACTACTGTATTAGTGTAAGCCAGGTTTTATTTTTATAGAGTATTGTTTGCTTTATTATTTCAATGAATTATGTTGAATAACATTTCTGTTTCATAGTTCAGGATGTTTTCTTTAAAATAATGTTATGTATCTGCTTTTGTTTATATTATAGAATCTATAAAACTCCTGGAGCAGTAACACTTCTTGTTATCAATGTTTATAATGTCACAGCAAAGCTAATTCTGAAACTTGACACAAGAATGGAATCTCCAATAGATGCCTACCTTTTAACACCTATTGGATCGTATGGACTACAATCAAAGTGAGTTATTTCTAAAACTTAATCAGTTGGATTTGTTTATTTATATCTTAATTTTAAAAATTATGTCAAGTAAGACATGGCAATACTTGGTGTTGTTTAAAGCATTGAAATGTATGTATTTTGGGAAAAAAAAGTAATTTGCTTTTTCAAGAATAAATGTTATGATGAGTTTTATATTAGCTTAGAAGGAGCATTGAGTGAAACTATTAGGTATCTTTTTAATCTGGTAGGTCAATGCAATGTTGAATTAATAAATTTTGGTTTAAGAAGCTAAATTTGCTATTCTGCAAAAAACAAAGATAAGGTTGTTTGAAAATAAAAGCTTAAATGATTAAAATTAGTTCAAATTCTGATGATTAAAAAAAAGAACACTTATAAGTATCTTGAGCCACATAAAATATAAAATAAATAACTTTGATACTTAATCCTTGTTTTCATTTCTCATGTTATTTGTGAGAGGATATACTTCATTCCCAAGGTTACTTATTAAGTCAGCTTCCTGTCTGAAAATCTAAAGGAACATGGTTCTCAGAAATGATCTCACATTAATCATCAGAAATGTGGTAACATTCTGGATGTTTTGGTTACAACATTAGTTACAATTGCATCAATTGTCTACAGGTGTTTTGTTTAATCTATGAACCGAATTAGTGACAATCAATCAGTATTATTATGTTTACAATAAATAAAATATCAGATTAATCTTATGTAATTGTTGTAACAGTTCTATGATAATAGTTAGTAAAATTTCAAACATTTTTAAATATGTCGATAGTATCACCCCATCTTGAAAATTTAGAAGTACAACAAACTACGAAATTAAACCTTATTTATTTTTTTTTATTGATGGTAAAAGTGTTTTTGTGAATGGAGTTTGTGTATCATTAAGTTTGAGTCAGAGTCACTGAATTACTATAACCCAAACTGACTATTTGGTGCCCTTCTTTTGGTAGTCAGTCTTATACATGTGTATGAGTGTTTTCATACATAATGTGATGAACATCATCACATGATATTCAGATGAATTTAGCAGTAGCAAATATTTCTGTATTGCATAATCTTGTCAGTCGAAAGCTTGATGTTTGAATAGAATCTCAGCTTTCATCATTATACCTTTCCTTTAGTTAACTTTATAATATTACTTTTATGACTATTTTACAATAGAGTAACATTTTACAACTGGAAATTCTGGTTCTATTTGTTTTGCCAGTTAAAAAGGCAGTAATGTTGGGATTTTATTCTCCATGTAAGGTTCAGACAAGTTAGCCAGGTAAAGTGATATGTCTACTTTCATTCCTATCTTGTTTGATTCCTTTTTTGAAGTTCATTAGTCAGCCCTACATAGCTTTTTCGTTTAGTGATAAATCTTCTTCTTAATATTTGTTTGTTTATTTTTTTTTTACAAGATGACATATGTGGGTTACTAGATTATAAAGTGTAATTATAAGATAGCTAGTTAAAGATCGTGAAGACAGTTTTGCTCTATCAAATGATGATAAAATTATAGTTACAACTAGAACTAGGTAGGCCCTAGGCCTGTTGAAAAAAGTTGATGATCAACGAAAATAAGATATCTTGGTTTTGGCTGTTCACCAGTTTTGACTTTGGAACATTCTGGATAGCTGAAAAGTGGCATATACACTAGAGATAGAGTGATTGTGCCAGGTAGCTTTTCCTATCTAGCTTCTGATGACCTGTGGAGAAGAAAATAAAGATATCTTTTGTATTGCTTTAATAGGGACATCTGTGCCATCCCTACATAAAGTGCTAGCACACTCTCCAATAGATTTGTAAAATATGTTTTTAGCAAATTGTTTTAACAGCTGATGCACCAACTTGTTTGTAGGTCCATCACTAGGATGGTACAGAGTTCCTAACAACATATGATTCACACATAAAGATACCATCAACTTTACAATTACTCTTGCTAATTACTATGTATTTTATGTAGAAAATGAGTGATTTCATCCAGTTTTTATCTGTTTTTCACACTGAGTGTTTTATAAGGAAAAAACACAAGATTACTCAATATGATGTAGTAGGGGATCCCACCAGTTGTGAATGTTATAACAACGAGTTAGTAACTTGAAGATTAATTGAAGTACTTTAAACCTGTGTATGTATGTAAAGCATTTTTCATTTTACTAAAATTATACTTTAAAGGAAAATACCTTAAACATGTAAAACATAGAGTTTTATAAAGAAAAAATCATACTTTAAATGAAATACTTATATTTCAAAACCTTATATAAATAGGTGAAATGCATATAACTTTGAAAAGAGACTCTCAGAATCTTATAGAGGCCTTACTTCAAACATGTTGTTAATTTGTTTCTGACAGTATAGTCTCCAGCACCACCATAGATTTTTTATCTTTTAATTATTTCCTGGGCTTTTACCATGTTCTCTCAAGCTATCTTGGGCCTGACCCTTTTACTCATATTTCTGTTATTGGCACATGGCCTAAGCTTCTGTTCATTTCACAGCCTTAGTCTAGCAGTGATGTTTTAGGAAGTTTATTTGTTCTAAGTTGTAGTGGGCTGGGATGGAAGTAGGCACCATTGTTGGGAGCTCCAGGTACTGCTGGGTCTTGCTGTAGCTAATTTTTCATGCTTTAATGTTGTTGTAGAAGCTGATGTAGCGGCAATGGCACTTGTCACAGTAGTAGTAGTTTTCCATTGTAACAGTTCCTGGGGCTTAATTCTTTGGCTATTTAGTCCCAGGAAGGTTGTTAGATTCTGCGGTATTGTGGTTCCACTAAAAGTACTTATAAATGTTGTTCTTTTGTCTCTCCTTTCTCTTTTTTTGGCTGGAAAGACTGGTGATGAGATGTGTGACATGAGTCTCACTTCCAACAGGCTATGCATGGCCGGGTGGTTAGGGTGCTCGATTTGCAATCTGAGGGTTGCAGGTTTGAATCCTCATCCCACCAAACGTGCTTGCCCTTTCAGCCATGGGGACATTATAATGTGACAGTCAATCCCACTATTCGTTGGTAAAAGAATAGCCCAAGAGTTAGCAGTGGGTGGTGATGACTAGCTGCCTTCCTTCTAGTCATTCACTGCTAAATTAGGGATGGGTAGTGCAGATAGCCCTTGTGTAACTTTGCATGAAATTTAAACCAAATCCAACAGGCTTGGTTTCAGGACAGTTGCTGCAGTAATCTTTGATGGCTTCTCTGGAAAAGAGACTGATAATATCACCAGAATTATTAGTGGCTATGAGGTGATGATTTCTGATATCAGAATATCCTCATCCATTGGCTCTTCTCCAGTTGTCAGATAAAGTATTGGTTCTAGAGCCCTACTAAACTCTAGACCTCCAATCTTGCTGCCCAAAGAATAGCAGTTATCCTGTTATAGTGATAATATACAAGAAGTTAGGTAGAAAAATCTTTAGCAAGTCATATTTGAGGAATAGCAAGATAACCAGAAGGCTCAAGAATATAGTATTATGTAACTAAAATTATGGTTCAAAATATGTATATAAATGTATTGTTAGCTGAGAAAATGTTTCTCGATCATGTGTGAACATTCCAATATGTGCTGTATGGGACTTACACTCTTGACTAATGCTCTGTTACACTCCCTGCTGGACCATTGCCTGGTATTGACAACTCACAAAAGCTGTCATAGCTAACAATCACATACACATGGGTCGTTGATAGTTGTCTGTATGTTAAAATCAGATCATGGGTCCAATGGTGAAGTAAGTGATAAATGCTAATATGGTGAACCCTACAGATACACCTGAAATCAAGCTGGTAAAAAAGATGAAACAGAAATGTAGAAGAGGAATTTTACTTTTATGATTTAATATATCACCTAAGTTATGAGTTTATATTAATATCTACTCCAAATCACATGAAACATCACTTTCATATGAACAGACTGAAATCAGATTAAGAACCATCAGACTGAGAGCTTAACATTAACTTCAGTCTTGCACTCATGATTTTTGCAATAAAGTTATAATGGATATATGCAGATGACTGATATATTATGCTAGAAATTATTTCAAGACTGATCATAATTGTTTGATAAAGTTAAGCATCTTTGAATGTGAATATTGATTATTTCTTTAAAAATTGGTATTTATATTGTTGTCTTTTTGTTTTTATTCCATACAGGAACGTGGCTCTGAATGGAAAGCTTCTTAAGATGGTCAGAGAAGACAAGCTTCCCCACTTTCTACCAAAGAGATTACCACCAAATTCTCCTATTGAGATACCCCCTTTAAGTTATGGATTGTATGTACTACCTTTACTGAATGGTACAGCATGTATTAATTAGGTCTGGAATGAAATAAAACATGTTAAAAATGTTCCACTATCAACACTATGCATTCCACCTACCAAAAACATTATTCTCACTTCATGTTTGTCTTGGAAAGCACCAGCATAAATTAAGAACACCCTTTTTTTATATAGTGTATTTAAGTGTCAGAAAAGTTAGGATTCCAAACACGTGCACTTATATATGAATTAGTCATAAGTCATACTCAATGGCAAAGCCTTGTTTTGGCATGATGAAAATCAAAATTTCTCTTTTTCTGTCACTCAAATTGCTTCAAGGTGAAATACATTTACCAAATGATCTTATATTGCTTCTTAATTGCACGTAATTATAAATATGAAAATCAGATTAAATGTGTCATTTTTGTTTTTCTTACTTTTAGGGATTTTTTGTTATGTGTGTGTATAGCTTTGTTATTTTAAGTCATTTTACAAATGCATCTGTTATGAACAAAACTTTATTTAGGAATAGTTTCACCTATATATATATGTTAATTGGTGAATAGGGAGCAATGTTATTCTATCAGCTAGCTTGCATCCTATAGCAAGTCTACATTAGTTGTTTATCCTGGCTCTGGCTAATGGCATAAAATTTGGAGTCCATGTGATGTCGAAAGTTTACATCACTAGCCAGAGTAGCTGTAAGCTGGCTTACAGCTACTCTGCTAGTGATGTAAACTTTCGACATCATTGCAGCTTACAGCTATTCTGGCTAGTGACGTAAATTTTGGACACCATGCCAGCTTACAACTATGCTGGCTAGTGATGTAAACCTTCAACACCATGCCAGCTTACACCTACTCTCTTGATGGCTTGTCTTTACATCAAGATAGCAAGGCTTCAAAAATACAACTTATTCCTCAGAGATTTTGGTTCATTGGTCAGTCAAGGAGGTTACTCTCCATTTCCACATCCTGGAACCTTTCACAATTCATCAGGCTCTGTATCATTTCCTCGTGTTCCTGCTAGGCTGGGTGGTTATAGTTCATTCTGACAATCCCACTGTCATCAGCTATATTACCAAGCAAGGGAGGAATCAAGTCCAGATCTTTCTGTTTTCAGAATCTGGATCTCCTGTACTAGACCATGACATGACTGTTCTGACGTGTCATGTTCCCAGAGTTATGAATCTTGTGGCCAGTCACTTATCACTAACCAAGTTCTGCCCATGAAGTAGTCCCTTCATCCTCAGGTTTTGTGGGTATGTTCTCAATTGGGAACTCTGCATATATATGCATTTCCTGCTCACTGGAATGCCAAACTTCCTTTATTTTTGGTCTCCAGTTCCTCTCCCCTCAGCTCTGGGAGTGAATGCTTTCAGTCCAGATTGGAGGGGTCTTCACCTATATGCCTACCCTCTGATCAGACTCTTCACCTGGGTCTTTTCCTTTATCCAGATCATTCCTTCTTGCTTTCTGCTGGTTGCTCCATTTTGGACCGGCTCAGACGTGGTTCCCTTTTCTCTGGCCCTTACTGGAGCTACAGCCCCTGCCCTTATCTCCGTCTTGATCGCTCCTCTAACAACCACAATCGAACATTTTTCATCCCAATATCACCAAACGCCAGTTTCACATATGACTTTTGTCTGGAGCCGTACCTCAACTCTGAGACTCACCTCTTGGGTACCATCTTTCCTTGCCTGTACCATTAACCCTTCCTCCTTGTCTATGTACCAGAAGCTTTGGTCTTACTTCAGATTTTGGTCTATTGACAATGGCTTCTGACCATCCCATCCTTCTGTTCCTCACCTGATTGTTCAGGGTTTGTCTGTTTCAACTGTTGCTCTTTTTTTGGGCCGCCCTATTGAATACCTTCCTTTCTCTAACTTCCAGAATGCTTCTTCTTCCCCCCTCGACGTAGATTCCTGTACGTGGTGAGGGGAACCTCCCAGGGAATGTTCTGTATTTTCAGTTACCTCCTCTGGGATCTAAACATCCACCCACATGTTTGCCGTGTGTGGCGACCCATGAAAGGGAGGAGAACACACCACATTGGCCTTGAATTCCTGTAGAATTCCAAGGTCAGTCAGCTGGTCCACTCAGGCTAGGGTCAACTGAGTACCAGTGTTGGGCATTCTCAACGGGTGGTGTGGACATCGTGTCTGATGCTGGTGTTTGAGTATAGTGCTTACAAAACCTTGGCGTTGCTGCAGTGTCCTTGTTTGACATTGTAGTGCGTCCTCTCATAGGACTCCATGGCGGGTTGGGTCAGTGGGCACTGAATCGATCTCCTTTATTATGGATCCTCCCAATCCAAATAAAAAAGTGTAAAATCTCTGCTAATCAGTAAACAACCACACCTAGAAGACTCTGAACAGCAGTCTCCATTACAAAGTATACCTGTACATTGCATTTTGATCATGCATTCACCATCTGATAAATCTTTAGGGCAAATGTCTCCCTTTTTTATTC